TTTATGGAAACAATTCATTTTTATTTATCATCTTAAATACATCAACAGTCAATCAAGCAATATCTACAAGAGGCAGAAAATCAACCAAGAGTTTCAGGTCAGGATCATGTACAATCCAATCATTACCAGTCTTTCCTGACAACACTGTGATCTTTTCTTAGAGGTGATCGTTACATTCATGATGGTATCCCTATGGAAGAGGAGCTAAGTCATCCAAAAATAAGTGCTGAATACTGTATGGGGATAACACACACACACAAAATGGCTCTTAAAAACAGTGCAAGGCCATGGTAATTGGAAATTGTAGAGAATAAAACAACACATATGAATGGTGTAAGACGTAAAAACAAAGAGAGACTGGAAAACCTTCTCCTCCTCAACAGTATACAGTGCACATCATGTGTGTTTTGGTTTTTCTGATTTCGGAATAACTGTACATTAAGAACATTTATGCCATGTCTACACTGGAAATGACTGATGTTGCACGGTTCCCATTTTAAAAGCAAAGTGGCGTAATATTTTGATATGCATTGGGTATTTTAAGATGAAAGAAGAAATGTTAGTGCGTGTTAATATTGGTTATCTGCAAATGATGATTTTAAGGTTTAAAAGTTAGCTTGAGATCATGAATGTAAAAGTCAGATTCAATTTAAATGTAGGAAAACAATTTATAATAAACGTACAGATTCTCAATTTGGTCCCACTTTATATTAAGTGGCCTTAAATAATATGTACTTACATTGAAATTAATAATTTTTTACAATGTACTTATTGTGTAAATACATGTTTTTACATTGCACTTAAGATTGAGTAAATACCTGCATGTAAATACATCTGTAATTAAATTGTTATGACATATTATGTTATCCATTATGTCATCCATTACACCTTAAGGGTCATTAATTACCCTTAAACCTTCCGACATCACAAAACATGCCCATAACCTTACCCCTATCCCACCTCAATGGCACATAAATGATCTGCAATACACTATAAACACATAAAGTACACTGTATTGATATTTTGAAGCAAGTGCAGAGTAGTTAAGGACACTTAATATAAAGCTCAACCGAATATTGTTGCGCTGAATATACTGAATTTATCCTCTTAAAGTCAAGTGCTATTAGGGCTTTTCCGCCTAGATTTTGCCTAATTCAAAAGCTTCCGAAATCCACATGCAGAGATGTAAATGCAAAAGTTTGGTATCATTTAAAGAAAACCCTTTAAATTTTCATAAAACACTATTGAAAGTGTGTAAAATAATTGCATATGGTGCCGGTGTTATAATAAACTGTTCTAAAAAAAGAGGCGCTTTTTTATTTTTTGGAAACTCAAATTTGAAAGTGTACCTTTCAGGTTCTGTGTGGTCTAGATTGCTGTAATTAATTTTGGTGGTTCCTGCACATGTCAGTAATCATAAGAAAAAAGAAAAATGCTTCTATCCTTATCTATGCAAAAGTTATTCTATTCCAACTGATGAGAGAACAGAACCACTTATCGGGGTTTTGGGTCAGTAAAATTAGGACCTTTAAAATTTTTAAATTGCGAAAGTAAATGACATTTTGGACCCGGTATCGTGTACGTAGAGTTTATCATTTATTTGTACAAAGCTTAAAATAGATATATGAAAGGAAATGTTGAAATATGAAATTTTCAATATACTGTAGATGCACATCTTGTGGAAAAAGCAGCCAAATGTGACAATAAAATTAGACAAAAATCTCCACAATATTGCACAAGGCATAACATTTAGGGTCCCGCTTTTTATTAGGTGTCCCTAACTACTTTGTACTTACATCAACATATAAATACAATGTACTTAATGTGTTCATGATGTATTGCAGAATGTATTTTTTGTGCCATTGAGGTGAGATACTAGTAAGGCTGTGGACAGGTTTTGTGATGTGGGAAGGTTTAAGGGTGGGTGAAGGTGTAAACGATGTATTAACATAATATGTAATAACACAAATTGATTACAGATGTACTTACATGCAGGTATTTACTCAATCTTAAGTACAATGTTTAAACATGTATTTACACAATAAGTACAATATAACAAGTTATTCATTTTTATGTAAGTACATATTAGTTAAGGCCACTTAATATAAAGTGAGACCCAATATTCCTAGTAAAAACCTGTGAAACAAAAATAATTCAGTGCCATTTAAGCAAAGTCTCATTATTTGCTAACAGGCTTAAAAAAAAAAATTGGCAATTCTTTCAAAAATGCTATTTTTTATGTGGATTTTTATTATATTTTGCATAAATCTTGGAGTAAAAATAGCCTTTTCTCTATGTTCTGCTTTTAAACAAACTGGAAAATAAAATTAAATCATTTAATTTAATTTTGTGGATGTATATTGTGTGGCTATCCAAATATATATCATCCAAAAACACAAATCTACTTAGTATAAGGAAAACAACATATTTTATATTTTAACCATTGAATTGAATTGCATTAATAATAAAAAAATTGTACAAAAAAAAAAAAAAAACATTAAAGTATAACACTTATATGATGGTTGTTTCTTTGATATTATTTGTCCTGTGTGGAAGTATCTCTAACTTTTTCAAAACTGACAAGAAAAGGTGAATTGTAATTTTATTTTAACAGAAAAAAAGCAATAGTGGCTATATAGTGATCAATGGCCAAGAATGTCATAAAAAAGTTATTTTAAAAGAAATAAAAGCTGTTGTAAAAGCTGAAACAGGCTGTCAACAATGCGACGTAATGAACGCTTCGAGTGTAGACAGAATTGTGGAGGTTTGTAATGCGGTGACGTGCTGCTCACATCCGGTGTTGACACAGCGTCAAACTGTGAAGCACAGCTGTCAGGATTTTATAATTCTGGCTGAATAAATCAGAGAGAATACAAGGTCTCCCAAGGGTCAGGCTGTAAATAGCTGAGGTTTTTGTGTAATGGGTGAGCGTGTGTTTTTCATCTTCTGAAAGCAGCATTTGTGTGTGCAGATTCAGAAAGGGTATCATTGGCACATGAGTGTTCCTCGCCCTTTCTGGCCACTCTGACTAATAGTTTGGAGCCTAATGTATGGATTTGTTCTCAGGTTGTTCCTGGTGCATCAAAGCTCCTGTTGTAATACTGTGTGGCATTTAAAAGAACAGTTTGACAGTTCTGTTTTCATTTACTCACAATCATAACACTGCAAATTGTATTGAATGAAAGAATTCACCTAAAATGAAAATTCTGCCATCATTTCCTCACCCTTCACTTGTTACAACTAGTTTAAGATTTTTTTTCCCGTTCTATTGAACATGAAAGAAGATATTTTTAAGAATGTTGGAAATCCGTAACCACTGACATCCATAGTATTTATTTATCCTAATACTGATGTCAATGGTAACAAGTTTTCAACATTCTTCAAAACATCTTCTTTTGTGTCGAGAGCAAGTAAATCAGGGGTCTTAAACTGCCTCCTTCTCTCTATGGAGATTTGGCCCACCAAAACATATATTTTTGAATCACTAAATTTGTTGTGCAGTCACATAAAGCCCGATTTAAACATTGAAATATGTCTGTAAGTGTTTTATTTTTATTAATAAAGCTCTATTTTTAAAAATATTTAAGGGTCATTTGATTATAATCAGTTCTACACCACCTGCATTTTGTTGTACAAACATCTCTTCATGGCTTACACGTTATGCTGGTGGTATAAATATGATCATTTTGCTAATATTAGATTTAAATGGTCTCAATTAATAGATTTTCCTCATAAGCATATTAAGATTTGTATAAAAAATGGACATTGGTAAAGTTTTACTGCTGGCTGAATTGAACATGTTAAAGTAAATGTTTTCCCCTCTTTGTTGTAGTTTTACAAAAAATTAAGAGATTGAGAAGAACAATTGTCAGTAGAGTCAATAAAGTTACCCAAATTGCTTTCTGCTATCTTACGTTTTCTGTTAAACTTTTGGTTAAGCAACAACTGATTGGGATATAATAATTATCATTATTATTATTCCTATAATTTAATTGTAGTATTTTCATATAGCAATTTAAACTACCCCTACAAGAAACAAAAAGAAGGAGCATTGATACTCAGGGGAAAAATGTCTGAGTGCATCAATTACATCAGTACATCATCCACCTTTGTCATGTGCTATTATGTTCAGCCACTGATATGGCCCCCTGCCAATTGGAGTTTTAGACCCCTGAAGTAAATAAAGTAACTGTACACATTCAGACATTTAGACATGGGTATGGCCATTTGGACAAGGTCAAACCATGATTTAAAATTAATTATTAAATCATACAATAAAAAGATTTAGATGTAATGATATGGAAATTTGGATCAATACCAATATCTACTAATAAACGGATCATTGATAAATATAAATATAATACATACAAATCTTGATATGAATTTTTCTATGCCTGATTACACATAAAAGAAGGTTAATTTTCTTATCAGCTTGGTTAAAATAACATTGTAAATAATTAATTATCGGCCGATATATAATACCGCTATTGCAGCCAGCACGACTTTATGTGGGATCCAGCCGTTTTGGGATAAAAACAGTTCTTCTGCAGCTCTTCTTTTGAGATGTACAGAAGATAAAAAGTCATGCAGGTTTAAAACATCATGATGCTGACTTAATGAAAACAAAAGGTTTATTTTTTGGTGTGAACTATTCAATTAAAGGGATAGTTCACCTAAAAATTAACTCACTATTTATTCACTGTGAAGTGGTTCCAAACTTTCATAAAATTCTTCTGTTGAACACAAAACAAGTTATTTAGAAAATGTTGGAAACCTGTAACCATTAGCATCCACAGTATTTTTTTTCCTGCTATGAAGTCAATGTTTACAGGTTTTCAGCTTTCTTTATAATATCATCTTTTGTGTTAAATAGAAGACGAAAAAAAAAACTCAAACAAGCAAGAGAAGAATGAGGAAATAATGACAGAACTTTCAGTATTTAATGAGCGATCTCATTACTACTGCTCATCCATGCACCCAGAAAGAGATCCAGCAAGTAATTTAACCACAAACATTCTCTTTATTTGACTTGAAAGGATTATAGAAATGCTTTGAGAAGTGCAAATTGGTCAATAATCTGGATTTTTCCTAATAACGTTAATAATTATAACAACATTAATCATATATTTCTTTATGCAATATCTATACTTGTGGTTGAGGTGAAATATCCTGCAGCTCAACCAGTTGCTCCGCGCTCTACATCCACATCACTTTTCCGAGTTCTTCCGTGGTCGTCGAAAGCTCGACATGTTTTCTAGTGCATAGATGCGCCGTGAGACCTCTTCAATCCCAGCGGCGTCAAACTCTCCCAAAACCTGTTCATCACACTCAACCGCTACTGCGTGCTCCACTGGGATGCAGGGGTAATCGTCCAGTCTGGCGCCACCTCCCAACCCCAATCCCAATCCTGTAGCTTCAGTGCCCATAATCTCCTCCGCTTGCTCCACTGAGCAGCATACCTCTCCTCCACTCGCAACGCCCAATCCCACACCCCCACTGGTGGGCACAGCAGAACCATTCATCGCCCCTGGGTGCTGAGGGATGGAGTCGGATGGTAATGTACTAACTATATCAGTAGGAACATCCAAAGGTTTCTCTGGATGTTCCTCTGACACAGTTTCTCCATCCTCAAGTGTTTCCACAGCCTTACCTACTTCCAATACCTCAACAGATGGCTCTGACTGAAGCTCCGGAGTGGTCATGGGATCAGGTTGAGCCATGGCGGTGTTGTAACTAGGCGGAGGTGTTCGGCATTTCTGTTTATCCGCATCTGAAGCAGCCCGCCTCCGGACATCCTGTTCAGGAGAACTGGAGAGAGCCGGAAATCCCACTTCGGATGCGGTGGAAACGCTGAGATGAGACTTCAGAGGGACGGGGATGGACATGGAGGCATGGTGCCTGTCGCTGGGAGAGAGAAGAAAGAGAAAAACGGAGGCACATGGTTATAACTTGCAATCATCTTCAGTGTTGAGATGGGAAAGGAACTCAAAGTGTGAAGATGCTGATGTCAGTGGAGCTTCTTTGTTGCTGATGGATCGTCTCATAATTCATTTACACACACCGAGAGCCTGGGAGAGCGCTCTGATCCTCAACCTCACACACGCACTCAGACAAATACACTCGCTCCGCTCCCCCCCCTCCTAAAACACACACAGCTGTTGGACTACATACATCATCTGAAATATGACTGCTAGAAAGTAAAACAATTGTATAGGATTCGTCATCCTTCACGGAGAGATGAAACAAGGTGCAGTTATAAAAGTAACATCATGCACATGCAAAAACCAGGTTCTCTTACATGGAAAAATGACAGCATGTTAAACTTGAGGGAAGGATAGACACATTTCACTAGATTTTACTTGGATGTACTAATGCTGAGAGCAAAAGAGCTTTGCCATTATACTTAACAATTTCTTAAACCTGTTAGTCAGCCCTCACTTTTGGGGATTTTACACCTACTTAACTTTAAATAGTGACAATTATTGAAAATTATTGAATTGAAAATTACAAACAAACATTAGGTATCATTGGGTATTAAGAAGACTAGTTAAGCTTTACTGTGGTCCATCTGGAAATCTCAAACATATAAAAACTTATGCATTATGAAGTAATGAGGAAAACTTTGTACTGTGTTCAATATTTGTTTTTCTATATACAAACACTGGAAAACATGAATGTAATAACCTAGCAAAAATATACCTTGAAAGCCAAGTGTCTCATTATATTTCAAATTTGAGATGAAGATAGCGTGCAAAAAAAGACTTCTGTGTTAGGTTTTCTGAGACTATATCAGAGTCCTTCTTCACCGTGTCGTGTTCTTTTTGATATAATCTATTGGTTAATACAAAAATGTTTAAAAAATGGGTAAGAAGTTAAACCTATATTACTGATATATTTCTTTTTAACCCTTTAACTACCCTATCAAGAAAAATAATGTTTGCATTGCATTTCTTAACTCCTAATGTCGCTAGTTAACACACTCAATGCATTTTTCCAATAATCTCTAAAATATCAGCCTCTAGCTAATGGTTGATATGTCAGTTAATGGTAAAAGTACCAGACAATGCAAAATCTGAAAATATAAAGTGTAAGACTAATTTGTTTAAAAAAATATTCAAAACAAAACATTTTTGAATACTAAATCATCTTTACCTTTTAAAGTATGCCATAAAATATATCCGATTCTCATTTAACATTTCTTTTTTTTTTTTTTTTTACAATAGAACTAAAAATAAGTGTAATAGCACAACAGGATGGTCTGTTTAATTTTCTGTATACCAACAATGCTGTGTGTGTAAGCCATTATTTAAAACATCATTCTTTAAATGACTTTAACAGCCATTCCTTCTAACAGTATAAACATGGTCAACCATTTGGTAGAGGGGCAGTCCAAGGGTTGATAATATTTTATTATATTACTTACTATGGAGATAAAGGGTGAGAAGACTTTAAAAAAAAAAACACACACACACAAAAATGTTTTACTTCAGGCGAAAAATGTAAAGATTAATTCATTAAAGTTTATTTACAGTATAAATTGAACGTAATGCTGTTTCATCCATTCAGAGTAATTTACAATGTTAAGTTATGAGAGACTCTCGTGGTCAAGCATGGGTCAGATTCAAAATATATATACAGTTGAAGTCAGAATTTTTATCCCCCTGAGTTATTAGCCCCTCTGTTTATTTTTTTCCCCAATTTCTGTGTAACTGAGAAGATTTTTTCAACACAATTCTAAACATAATAGTTTCAATAACTCATTTCTAATAACTGAATAATTTATCTTTGCCATGATGACAGTAAATAATATTTGACTAAATATTTTTAAGACACTTCTATACAGCTAAATTGACATTTAAAGGCTTAACTAGGTTAATTAGGTTAACTAGGCAGGTTAGGGTAATTAGGCAAGTTATTGAATAACGATGGTTTGTTCTGTAGACTATCGGGAAAAAATTGCTTAAAGGGGCTAATAATATTGACTTTAAAAGGAATTAAAAAAACTGCTTTAATTCGAGCCGAATTACAACAAATAAAACTTTCTCCAGAAAAAAAAATATTAGCAGACATACTGTGAAAATTTCCTTGCCCTGTTAAACATTAAAATAAAAATAAAATAATAAAAAAGAAAAATTCAAATGAGGGCTAATAATTCTGACTTCAACTGTGTATTTGAATGCAAAAGAGTAGTTATTTTTCAAAAATCTACTTCCGGGTCAGTTTCACAAAGTTTTATTTTTGAGCACTGTTGACTTGATCCACCCACTGTGTGCCTCCAAGCATTCATTTTTTTCCAGAGAAAAATCAGAAAGCTTTAACTTTTTCATAAATGTATTTAAAAACTGTAGACTTTTCAGAGTAAAGACTGATGCAATACTACCCCATACAGTACGTACTGTAATTCATTAATATGAGATTTGGCAAAATGAGCATGATACACCTCTTTCAATGACTTTCAGGCCTTAAAAATGCTGTTGACACGTAAATTAACATCTAATTCACAAAATATGGTAACAATTTATTTTGATGGTCCATTTGAGCATTAATAGAGTATTAGCTGTGTGTGTATTAGCTTAATATCTGTTGATACTGCTGTTAAACAGACATTTAACTGACTATAAGAAACTTTGCAGGTACATGTCAGCTTACACTAACCCCAACTCTAACCGCAACCAAACAGTCTACTTATAATCTAATGAGAATTAGTTGGCATGCAGATGCAATGTAACTTAAATTGAACAAACAGACCATCAAATAAAGTGTGACGCAAAATATTTAGAATATACCCATTTAACATGCCCATATTATACCCACACTAATTATTTATAATATTCCCATATCATACCCATTAATATACTGAAACATTAACCCAGATATACCCATTTTTAGTAAAAAAAACAGTGCAGTTTAAATATTATTCACAATGTTAGACATCCTTTTCAATCATTATTTGTTTGACCTGCAAAATTTGCACTGCATTGAAGTCATGTGACAATTCACATCAATATGTGTAACAAGTCACATATTAAATAAAAAGTACTACACAGAATGCAAATGTACGCTATACACATTATCCATGTGTTTTCTATGAACCTTCAAATACAGTATGTGTGGCAGTGAGATATATGCGGTTTAATTCCTGCGTGTCTGAACAGGCTGCGATGCAACATAGCCGCTGCGTTAATGTCCCCCGACCACAGCCACGAATTTCATTACCCAGAATAAGCAAAGAAACATGCTCCCAAATTCCTCATCAGTTCACTGAAAACAAACATCTAATGCGTAGCGTGTATTGTGTATTCCATTTCCCAAATGATTCTTCTAGCGCTCCGGCACATAATCAGATCCAGTTTTCAGATGTGAAATTGGGAGAGACGTTTCCAAATTAAATGCTGCTCCGAAACAAAACCGTAGTGTTTCAAAAACAGCAGTCAGATGTTCCTGCAAAGCATTATAAAAACATGTTGACTAATGACAGTTGCTGATTATGTGAGTTACAGCGCTACATCTCTCAGGCTAATACATATGATTACGGATTATAAAAAATGTCCTATCGGCACTTCAAAAATTGTCCATTTACGCACGTGTTATGTAGATATGCAAAACATATGGGCTCCATCTAGCCAAGTGTTTAGACGTCACACCCCTTGCAGGGAAAAAATAAAGCATTTATTGTTTGGAGCGGGAGGCTATTTGTTACACCGTGCTTTCCGTTATAAATGAGTTCCTCTAAACATGTGTCAAACCACAGCCCTTAATCAAGAGCAAGGGGCCGGTGTGTGCTGGAGATTTGAAAAAGGGGCTATTTGCGCTCAAGCATGCCAGACTGATCTCCCAGAACCGTCATAATATTTTTCACGCCGCACATTTTCTTAAACTTGGCTCTTAATATGGGCCAATTAGGCCGCCGTCGCACCTCCCTCGCTGGCAGGAAGAGGGAGCCCATCTACGGACGTCCCTTGAGGAAATAGAGATGGTGGTCCGGGAGAGAGGAGGAATGACGGCGAGGCTGAGGTGTGTAGTCTTGTGAGACAGACTCTGGAACGAGAAACAGACTCGGGAGGAATTTTAGGCAAACCACAAATTCTCCTCGGTTGGGTGAGAAGCAAAAATAAATGCAGGATGACGGTAAATAAAAAAAGATAGTTTGAATAATGTTTGCTTAAGAGCTTACACCTCTCCTGTAGACGTGGATGTACTTAATTACATTAACGGGGCACTGCAAATAAACAGCATACTTTAGGGCTCCATGTCTTCCGCCATGTGGAAAACGTGGACAGAATTGCAGAATCCGGTCAATGAAAATGGAATTTAGATGCATAATTTCGCAAATTCCTGCCTGAAAATAAATAAATAAATAAATTAATTAATTAATTAATAAATAAACAAGCACTGCAAACTGTAATTTTGGGCCACAGGGTGGCTCAGTAGTTACCACTGTTGTCTCACAGCAAGAAGGTCGCTGGTTTGAGTCCCAGCTGGGACAGTTGACATTTCTGTGTGGAGTTTGCATGTTCTTCTTGTGTTGGCAGGGTTTCCTCCAGGTGCTCAGGTTTCCCCCCACAGTCCAAACACATGCTCTATAGGTGAATTGAATAAACTAAATTGGCCGCAGTGTATGTGTGTGAATGAGTGTGCGGATGTTTTTAGGTTTTTTAGTACTGGATTGCAGCTGGAAGGGCATTCACTGTGTAAAACTTATGCTGGATAAGTTGGTGGTTCATTTCGCCGTGGTGACCCCTGATGAATAAATGGACTATGCCTAAGGAAAACTAATGAATGAATGAATTATGTAAACTGCAAACTAGTTCCCATTTAAAAAAAAAAATGCTGGGTTATGTCAACCCATTTATGGGTGTAACATGGACTAAACCAACTGCTGGGTTAATTTTTTTAATTAAATT